AAATTTATTTTTTTAAAAAACAAATTTTACTTAATTTTTTTTAACAAAATTAAAATTTTTTTTTAAATATTAATTTTAAAATTTTTTTTTTATAAAATTTTAAAAATTTATATTAATTTAAATTATAATAAAAAAACAAATATATTTTAAATAAATTTTATTTATATATAAATATTATATAAAAAAAATATATATATAATAATATATATTTATATTTATATATAAAAATTTTATATATATTAAAAATTTATATTAAAATATAAATATATATAAATAATATTAAAAAATATTTATATTTTTAAAATAATTTTATATAATATATATTTATACATTTTATATATATATATATTTTAAATAAAAATATATATATAAAACATAAAAATTTATAATATATATTAATACAAAAAATTTTATAAAAATATTTTTAAAATATTTTAAAATATATATATATAAAAAAATAAAAATATATATATATATATAAAAAAATTTTTATAAATATATTATATATATTTTAAAATATTATATATACATATAAATATAAATATAAAAAAAATATATATATATAATATATATATATAATTTTATATATATATAACATATTATATAAAAATTTATATATATAATATTATATATATATTTTATAATTTTTAAAAAATATATATATATATATATAAAATATATATATATATATATATAATTTTACATTAAATATAAAAAAATTACATATATATTTATAAAAATATATATTTAAAAAAATATATATATATAAAATATTATTAAATATATATTTATTTATATATATATATATATATTTATAATATATTATATTATATAATATATATATACATAAATATATAATATATACTATATATATATAAAAAATAAAAAATATATAAATATACATTTTAAAATTATATAATTACAAATATTATATATATATAATTTTTTTAAAAATATATATCATAAAAATTTATATATTATATAATATATATTTAAAAACATATATATTTAAAATTTATATAAAAAAATATATAAAAAATTATTAATTATTATATAAAATATATATATACATATATTTTTATTTATATAAACTTATATATATATACATATATATAATAAATATATATATATTAAAAATTAATATTAATATTTTATATATATAATTTATATATATATATATAATTTTTTTATATACATATATATATATAAAAAATAAAAAAATAAAAACATATATATAATATACATTATATAAAATATACAAAAAATTTTATATATTTAATATATACATTTATATTATTATTATATTAAAATATATAAAAATATTTATAAAAACATATATATAAAAATAATAATTATATATAAATTTTATATTAATATAAAAAATTAATTTATTTAAAAAAATATATATATCATTTTTATATATATATTAAAAACATATATATATAAAATATATAAAATATAATATATTTATATATATAATATATATATATATACATAAAAATATATATATATATATATATATTATATTTTATAATATTTATACTTATAATATAATATTTAATTATAATATATATAATTTATATATTATAATATCATATATTTTAAAAAAAAAAATATTAAATATAATATAATATATATAATATATATAATAATATATATATAAAAATATTATATTATAATATATTAAAAATATATAATAATTAATATTAATATAATATAAATTTAAAATTTATAATATATAAAATTTTATAAAAATAATATATTTATATATTATAAAAAATAAAATATATTTAAAAATATATATTAAAATATATTATATTTTTATATATTATATATATAAAAATATATATAAAAATTAATATATATATAAAAATTTATATATTTTAAAAATATATATTTTAAATAATATAAAAATATTTTTTAAAATTATATTTTAAAATTATATATAATATAAAAAATTATATATAATTATTTAAATAAAAATAATTTAAAAATATAAAAAAAGGGGTGTTAAGTTGATTTTTAAAAACTGTAGTGTAAAGCACCCTTCGGGCAAGACAGTGATGGGTGAATGATGGTGAAAGTTTTTCTTTTTTGGGCCACCCCCGCCTTGGGGGAAACGGCGGTGTGATAAAATTTAAATAATTAAAATATATTTTAAAAATTTTATATATAATAAATAATTAATAATATATAAATTTTATTATAAAATAATTATTTATATTTTTTATAAAAATAATAAAAAATTTAATATATTATATATAATTATATATATTTAAAATATATTTTATAATTTTTTACTATATATATATAATAATATAAAATATATGTTTTTATGTTTATATTTAAAAAATAAAAATATAATATTTAAAATATAATTTTATATATATTATAAATATATATATTAAAAATATATAATATATATAATTAATATAATATATATATAAAATTTTTATTTATAACCCGTGGGTTTTTCTTTTTGATTTTTTTCCTAGTTCTTTTTGTTTACCGCTTTTTCCATGGGGGGTGGAACATAATTCTTTTTTCCCTAATCTACGTGTCGTAAAGACAACTGAAAGCCGGGGCAAGGGGGAGTAACCCCTTTTCTTTTATATATTACTAAATTTAAAAAGAGAAACTTTTATCTTTGTTTCTGGGACACCCTGCCTCGGTGGGATACGGTCGGTTTGTTGAAAAAAGAATGAATAATTAAAAATCGAAAAGGCAATGATTATTTTGTTCAAACTAAACAGTAAAATATATGGAATGAGCTAGATTATTTAATTTGACATAAAAATGGTTTATATCTATATTCTTAGGCATAAGATAAAATATCATCACATATCTATACCACTTAGGTCTACTGAGAAGGATTTTATTAAGCAATCTTATTTCAAAATATTCCATATATAAATTACTAAGGACAAGTGAGAGAGGATTTCCCATTGCCAAACCAAACTTCTGTAGTGTAAAAATCGTAATTAAACACAAACTTTGCATTAACAAAATCCTTCCTAACAGAGCCAAGTGGTATAGATATGTTGATGATATTTATGTGTTATGCCTAAGAATATTGATTTAAACCTTTCCTTTTTTAAATTAAAAAATCGGATTCCATAAATTTTTTCTGTGATTTTAAAAAATATCTTGCCTTTTTTAGTGTTTTAATTATTAAGGGGGAAACCCGATTTTAAAATTTTTAAAATTCTTTTAAAACCCAAAAAATAATGTTTTATTATACTGTTATTCTTTACATCAAAATAAAATTAAAACTGTCGTATTCTCATCAAAGTTTTGAGAGCTTTTTCGTTTTACAGCCCAGATTTTTTAGATGAAAAACTCGAAAAATTTTTGAAAAAGCTAAGACTAAAATAAATACCCTTTGGGGGAAACAGGTCAAAAATTTACGACGCTCAACCACTGGACCATATAATCCTTCAAACACTGTACCAGGGAAAACCATTTTTTTATGCGAGGGCTTACGTGGCCGTGGGAAACCAGAGTAATTTCTTTCTACTCCCGTTTGAATACCAGCCTTCATAAGCAGTCCATATATTAATGTAACCACGAAACAAGTGGTACTGATACAATTAACAAATTGGGGCTTGGCCGGGGATCGAATCCGTGTTACGTTAGCCCCCTCCCCTCTCGTGGGAAGCAAGCAAAAATTTACTTGAACCTAGTCAGCTGAAGCATCTGCTGATGAGGATTCATCCTCAGTATGCGGAGGAACAGTCCTGCAAAATCGTACGTTTAAAAGGAGGTGAGGCTCAAACTATGATAAATGTGATGCATTCTTCACCAACTTTTCACAGGAAGTTTTGAACTGCTAAGGCCTGGGAATATATTTATTTTGTAATATATTATATTCAATCGTAATACATTATGTTCAATCATAATATATTATGTTCAATCATAACTGAATTATTTTTTGTGTTAAGAGTATATTTGCATCAAGCGCTCAGTCCTCTTGTTCTGGAGGCTTCCATATAAATAATTTTGAGTTGTCGATGTCTTAATATTAGACTTCGTGTCGAGTCTATGAAGACGAGGGAGCACTGGTAATACTGTATTAAGATTCTTATTACTTAACCAACATAACATGATCTAACCCGACCAAGCCGAACCTAACTCGATGCTCTGCTCGTTAAATTATTACTTTTGTTTGCTGTTTTAATGAAAAGAATTTGCAGCTTTGTTTACATTTTACAGTCTGTGAAAAAAAAGGCAAATTAAAATTTCATTATTTATAATAAGATTAAACCTCAATAATACCTTCATAAATGTATTTTTCCTGGGTTTCTATTGCTACTTAAAGTACATTTTCAACTCAAATGACAGAAAAAAAAGGTAAGACGTTCTGTTATGTTCTATTCATGAATTAGCACGAAATTTTAATGACAACGGAAATACCTTCAGCAACAAACCAAGTGAAACACTTGGATGTTTGTAAATGAACTGTGTTAATTATGCGTGTCAAAACCATACCACGGATGGGAATAGAACCCGCGATCAGAGAGTCTCAAAACTCCAGACCGTCGCGTTAGCCACTGAGCCAGCTTTTATAAATATTTGCAATCGTGTCATTACGATTTCGTGAGTTCTGTGTGTCATCACCCAACTAGAATCTCTAAACTCAAGCTGACCATTTTCATTCTATTGTTTAATAACCCGTCCTTCGTCACAGAGTATGAAAGTGAAAATATAGTAGGCTGTTGTTCCCACAATGGAATATTATACAGAAAGTGTAGTAAAAAAATACGGGTGTTCTTGAGTTAAAAAAAAAAAGTAAAGGTGAAGCAGCTTAACAGGATGCAGGATGGGGACTGCGGCCACGGAGAAGCATTCAACACCTATAATAAATGGTTGATGTCTGTTGGATATAAATTATTATAGCACATAAAAAAATGTTTGTACTCAAGGTCGTTCAACTTGCCACAGGTGTTTCTACAAAATGAGGACCTCCTTTTTTCAAATATATATAAAAGCACAGCGTCGTTGTGGCATTCACCACACTTATACACACTGTCGACAACGGTTCGGGAACAACAGACGTACCTTTCTTGATTTTATCGCCCAGACAAAGCAAGTGCTGAGATAAAGCAGCCAGGCACGAACAGCGAAGCATAACCACCATGAAGTCTGTGTTTTTGTTGATGCTATTCTGTTTCTACCTAGTGAAGGTACAGAGCATGAATGAAGAGCCTGTAGCAACAGACGGAAACAGCACTGCACCCGGTGAGGTATGTCTGAGAACTTTTCAATTATTTCTATGAGATACTGTGTCATTGGTTTTACCTAGTACACCCAATCACATGACAGCACAGAGGAAAATGAAATAGAAGGGAGACAGTTAAAGTATTACCAATATAAGACAGTAAACAGGACCGCATATTCAGAAAAATATACTGAAACTAAAATTTTGATTCCTCTTGATTTGTGCTCCTAATTTCAATTATAATTTTCTTATAAATTCTATTCAATTTAGCTATGAAAAATATATTTATGATGAATAATGTGTGTGTGTGTGAGTGTGTGTGTGTACTCACCTATTTGTGGTTGCAGGGGTCGAGTCTTAGCTCCTGGCCCCGCCTCTTCACCGGTTGCTACTGGGCCCTCTCTCTCCCCGCTCCATGAGCTATAACAAACCTCGTCTTAAAACTGTGTATGGTTCCTGCCTCCACTACGTCATTTTCTAGGCTATTCCACTGCCTTACAACTCTATGACTGAAGAAATACTTCCTAATATCTCTCTGACTCCTTTGTGTCTTCAACTTCCAATTGTGATCTCTTGTTTCTGTGTCCCCTCCCTGGAACATCCTGTCTTTGTCCACCTTGTCTATTCCACGCAGTATTTTATATGTCGTTATCATGTCTCCCCTGACCCTCCTGTCCTCCAGTGTCGTCAGGCCGATTTCCCTTAATCTTTCTTCATAGGACATTCCCCTTAGCTCTGGAACTAACCTTGTGGCAAACCTTTGTACTTTCTCTAGTTTCTTGACGTGCTTTATCAAGTGCGGGTTCCAAACAGGTGCTGCATACTCCAGTATGGGCCTGACATACACGGTGTACAGTGTCTTGAACGATTCCTTACTAAGGTATCGGAATGCTGTTCTCAGGTTTGCCAGGCGCCCATATGCTGCAGCAGTTATCTGATTGATGTGTGCTTCCGGAGACATGCCCGGTGTTATACTCAACCCAAGATCTTTCTCCTTGAGCAAGGTTTGCAGTCTTTGGCCACCTAGCCTATACTCTGTCTGTGGTCTTCTGTGCCCTTCCCCTATCTTCATGACTTTGCATTTGGCAGGACTAAATTCGAGAAGCCATTTGCTGGACCAGGTGTGTGTGTGTGTGTGTGTGTGTGTGTGTGTGTGTGTGTGTGTGTGTGTGTGTGTGTGTGGGTGTATTTGTGTGTGTGTGTGTGTGTGTGTATGTGTGTGTATGTGTGTCTGTGTGTGTATGTGTGTGTGTGTGTGTGTGTGTGTGTGTGTGTGTGTGGTGTGTGTGTGTGTGTGTGTGTGTGTGTGTGTGTGTGTGTGTGTGTGTGTGTGTGTGTGTCTGTGTGTCTGTGTGTTAATGTAAAAATAAGTTTAAAATAATTTAATAATAAATGACACATTTTTTTCTTTAGGTTCAGAATTATTTTTGCGAAATTACTGCATACACAAATTTTCGTTTGCCTTATTCGGCCAAAATTATTAAGCCAAAATACCAAGTTTTACCTATTCAGCATGTAATATATATATATATATATATATATATATATATATATATATATATATATATATATATATATATATATATTAACAAGTCGGCCGTCTCCCACCGAGGCAGGGTGACCCAAAAAGAAAGAAAATCCCCCAAAAGAAAATATTTTCATCATTCAACACATTCACCACACTCACACATAATCACTGTTTTTGCAGAGGTGCTCAGAACACAACAGTTTAGAAGCATATACGTATAAAGATACACAACATATCTCTCCAAACTGCTAATATCCCTAAACCCCTCCTTTAGAGTACAAGCATTCTACTTCTCATTTCCAGGACTCAAGTCCGGCTATATAAAAATAACCGGTTTCCCTGAATCCCTTCACTAAATATTACCCTGCTCACACTCCAACAGATAGTCAGGTCCCAAATACCATTCGTCTCCATTCACTCCTATCGAACACACTCATGCACGCCTGCTGGAAGCCCAAGCCCCTCGCCCACAAAATCTCCCTTACCCTTTCCTTCCAACCTTTTCGAGGACGACCCCTACCCCGCCTTCCTTCCCCTACAGATTTAAACACTCTCCATGTCATTCTACTTTGATCCATTCTCTCTAAATGACTAAACCACCTCAACAACCCCTCTTCAGCCCTCTGACTAATACTTTTATTAACTCCACACCTTCTCCTAATTTCCACACTCCGAATTTTCTGCATAATATTACACAACACATTGCCCTTAGACAGGACATCTCCACTGCCTCCAACCGCCTCCTCGCTCCTGCATTCACAACCCAAGCTTCACACCCATATAAGAGTGTTGGTACTACTATACTTTCATACATTCCCTTCTTTGCCTCCATAGATAACGTTTTTTGTCTCCACATATACCTCAATGCACCAATTATCTTTTTTTCCTCATCAATTCTATTATTAACCTCATCCTTCATAAATCCATCCGCCAACATTTCAACTCCCAAGTATCTGAAAACATTCATTTCTTCCATACTCCTCCCCAATTTGACATCCAATTTTTCTTTATCTAAATCATTTGATACCCTCATCACCTTAATCTTTTCTATGTTCAATTTCAACTTTCTACCTTTACACACAATCCCAAACTCATCCACTAACCTTTGCAATTTTTCTTTAGAATCTCCCATAAGCACAGTATCATCAGCAAAAAGCAAATGTGTCAATTCCCATTTTGTATTTGTTTCCCCATAATTTAATCCCACCCCTCTTCCGAACATCCTAGCATTTACTTCTTTTACAACCCCATCTATAAATATATTAAACAACCATGGTGACATTACACATCCCTCTCTAAGACCTACTTTTACTGGGACGTAGTCTCCCTCTCTTCTACACACCCTAACCTGAGCCTCACTATCCTCATAAAAACTCTTTACAGCATTTAGTAACTTACCACCTATTCCATATACTTGCAACATCTGCCACATTGCTCCCCTATCCACTCTATCATATGCCTTTTCTAAATCCATAAATGCAATAAAAACTTCCCTACCTTTATCTAAATACTGTTCACATATATGCTTCAATGTAAACACTTGATTTACACATCCCCTACCCACTCTTAAAACCTCCTCGCTCATCCGCAATCCTACATTCTGTCTTACCTCTAATTCTTTCAATTATAACCCTACCATACACTTTTCCTGGTATACTCAGTAAACTTATTCCTCTATAATTTTTGCAATCTCTTTTGTCCCCCTTCTCTTAATATAAAGGGACTATACATGCTCTCTGCCAATCCCTAGGTACCTTCCCCTGTTTCATACATTTATTAAACAAAAATACCAACAACTCCAACACTACATCAACCCATCCTTTCAAGATTTCTGTCACGATCCCGTCAGTTCCAGCTGCTTTACCCCCTTTCATTCTACGTAATGCCTCACACACCTCCCTCACACTCATATCCTGTTCTTCTTCACTCCTAAAAGATGGTATACCTCCCTGGCCAGTGCATGAAATTACCGTTTCCCTTTCTTCGTCGACATACAAAAGCTCATCAAAATGTTCTCGCCATCTACCCAATACCTCCCTCTCCCTATCTACTAACTCCCCTACTCTGTTTTAACTGACAAATCCATTCGTTCCCTAGGCTTTCTTAACTTGTTTAACTCCAATTTTTTTTCTTATTTTCATTAAAATTTCTTGACAGTGCCTCTCCCACTCTATTATCTGCTCTCCTTTTGCACTCTCTCACCACTCTCTTCACCTTTCTTTTACTCTCCATATACTCTACTTTTCTCATAACACTTCTGCTTTGTAAAAACCTTTTGTAAGTTGAATTTTATCACACCCTTTACTTCATCATTCCACCAATCACTCCTCTTTCCTCCTGCACCCGCCCTCCTATAACCACAAACTAATACTGCATTTTTAAAACTATTCCAACCCTCTTCAACCCCCCCCACTACTCATACCTGCACCAGCCCACCTTTCTGCCAATAGTTTCTTATATCTCACCGAACTTCCTCCCCCCTTAGTTTTTACACTTTCACCTCGCTCTTACTTGTTGTTGCCACCTTCCTCTTTTCCCATCTACCTCTTACTCTAACTGTAGCTACAACTAAATAATGAACCGATATCTCATGCCCCTCTATAACGTGTAACATCCTGGAGCCTACCCATCAACCTTTTAAACCACCAATACTAATTTAACTTCTTTCATTATACTGATATATCTTACCTTGTATATTTATTTATTCTCTCTTCATAAAATATGTATTACTTATTAACAAACCTCTTGCCTACCCATAGCTCAATCAAAAGGCTCCCAATTTTCATACCCCTTGGCAACTCCTAATTTAACCTACTACTACTCCCCTCCACAACCTTTGTTTTTGCCCACTTGAGCATTGAAATCCCCCAACCAACCATTACTCTCACACTTGGTTTCAAAACTCCCCCAACGCAGTCACTCAACTTTCCCAAATCTCTCTCTCCCTCTCCTCTACACTTCTCTATTCCTTCCAGGTGCATATAAGCTTAACTATAACACACTTTTCACTTCCATACTTTATATTTACTCCACAAAATCCTTGACTTTAATGCATTTATAGTCCCTCTGTCCTGCCATAATTATCCTTCAACATTATTCTACCTCCTTCTTAGCTCTAACTCTATATAAAACCCTGACCTAATCCCATTTATCCTCTCCACTGTAACTTCTCCTCCCCCCCCATCAGCTTTGTTTCACATAAAGAAGCCGGACTACCAGCTTCTTCTCATTCATAACATCCACAATCATCTCTTTCTTATCATTTGCACAACGTCCACCCGCATTCAGACTTATCCCACTTGAACAATTTTTTCTATTCATTTTAGTAATCTTACATGAAAAGGGGGTTACTAGCCTATGTTCCCAGCATTTTATTGACTTTTACAACGCAATGGCCTTACGGAGAAAGATTCTTAGTCCACTTCCCATGGGTATAAAAAGAAAAGTTATGACCAAGAACTTTTAAGATAAAATCAAAGAAAACTCAGATGA